AATTACTCGGGTGAACAGAAGTCCTTAACCTGAGAAGTATAGATTTAATATTATCTTAATCTTATCTGACTGGTTATAACCGGTCTTAAAGTAGGACAAAACATAACAAGTAACATCTAAGACAGTTAGCAGTCATCATGCTAGCCATTAGCAATGTAGCTGCTAGACACCATTTGCTGTCAGCTGGAGAAGGACATGTTATTTTTAGGCTTTAGTTTGTGAACTTTGAACAACATATTGTTATATATAACCATATTAACTCCAGATGCAATCATTAGTTCACTGACTACGATCGAAACTGAATTATTAATAAAATTAATAGATTTTTCCAACAAACAAAAGACAGAGTTCTCACTACAGGTATTTTTTTGGTATGTTCCTTTAGAAGAGCAAAGGAGAACTACTACTAAAAAAAACCTACTATTATAGAACTATAAAAAAGTCACATCATTAATTACCTGTCTGGAATTCACCGACCTACTTCTCTTAAGCTTAACCTCATTTCCCTAGTCTGGGTTTGGTCCATGACATCATGGAGGCTGGTGGCCTTTACTATAAAGTGCAGATGCTGTTATTAACCCAGTACTTCTCAAATAGTGGGGCGTGCCCCTCTGGGAGGGCACGGTGAGGTGCCATGATGGGGCAATGGAATATGGCACGTTGGACATAAGTTGGACATGCTTGAATGATAAGCCTCCGGTCACTAGGTGGCAGCAACTCATATAGTGGTTTGTAGAACAGATAGAAATATACATGTTATCAGGTTCTCAATACTATTTTAATTCGCAGCGGTGTGGGTCTGAGGGAAGGGTGTGTTAGTTAAAACATTTCTGTCCCCAAGGGGGCGCATGACAGAAAACAACTGAGAACCACTGCAATGTGATTCTACTATAACTGGACTCAGGTACAAATATTAAACTGCCTCTTCCATGTATTTCCTATTTTAGTATTTCTATATTTACTTCTGAACATTAAGTCATGTTTTTATTCACCGCATGACCTGGCAACGCGCATCATCATGTGGCAGACGATCGTGTGTGCGTGCCATTAAAGAAGAAATCTCATGTTATTATTGATGCATAAAAGAGACCAAAGGAGCACTTTGTTCTTTTCTTTATCATTAATGTAAAAGATTAATGAGACCTGAAAACATGCTGCAACAACAATGATCTTACAAAAAAAAAAAGGCTTTGACAGAATGACTCATACGCTCCTTACACAGAGAGGCTACAAAGTGCTTACGCTGCTCGTTATTGTGTTCTTTCATCCTGCTTTCTAGTCTTTTCCTTATCAACTGCCGGAGCCGGTACAGGAACCAATTACGGTCCATTAGTTTTGCTTGATTTTTGCTGCTCTGTGCATCACTGCCCGAAGACATCGGCTAACGGCGTCAGCACTGAGGAACAGGTGCATCCCTGAGACGACGCAGCCCCGGCGTCGGCTCCCTGCTTCATTCTGTGCAGCAGTCTGACTATTTCGCTGCCGTGTTAGCACACCAGTCACACCCTGAATTGCTTTCTCTTCGGGTCTGGGTGAATTCCACACACTACTTACCCCAGAATATTGCAATACGTATTGAAGGCAGCGCAATAGAGGTCTGAGTGTGAGTCTGTTTGTTGCATATGTGACTGTTATGGTGATTTTTTTTTTATGGGCCCCAGGGAGGGGGTGTGAGCTGCAGGCTGCATTAACCTTCACTTGATGAGTGTCAGTGTTCTGAACGTTAATAAACTGAGGAAACAAAAGGGAAGCTAAAGAAGAAAAGATCAATCATAAACATGTCGCAAAGAAGAAGAACTTTTGTCAGTATTTATATCTAGTAATGTTGGACTAGACCAGGCATGGGCAAACTAAGGCCCGGGGGCCGGCTGTGGCCCGTTCCGCTTATTAATCTGGCCCGCCAAACTTTATTTATATTGTCATCATACTTCTGCATTTTCCCTGCAATACCCATGTTCCTCCAATAGATGGCATAGAAAATGATAAGAGGATTTTAGTCTTCGTTCACACAAATGCTCCATATATCTGCTCCTGACCTGGTCCCCCTGTTCAGTTTAAGGACACGCCTGGACTAGACAGTTGACTGTTTTAGTCATGTGTTTGTCAGGGTTAGAAGTTCAAACCATTCCCTTTTGATTTATTTTCTAAGACAAAACACAAATGTATTTTTATGCCGTTTATTTGCTTTTCTCTGTTTCCTAAATTCTGGTTGTGACCCTGGCCTGTAGGGGGCAGTAATGTACCTGGATGTTACCATTGGACAGGCACAGAGGCATTAAAGATAAGACTTTAACCAACTAAGTCACAGCGCCTCCTATCATTACTTGGCAAGCAATATTTCTGATTAAACAATTCGTTTGTACATATACACACAAGTCACAGCGCCTCCTATCATTACTTATTACTTAAACAATTCGTTTGTACATATACACAACCATGCCATGACCAGCAGGTGTCACTTGTTGACAAACGCACAACACAACAAATACAAACCCTGAAGTGTACGCAGTTATTAAACCTTTAAATAATCTCCTCTGTGGTTCTTCAATAATTCATATGCGATGTCACAGTAGGGGAGGCTGTTTCTCTCTAATCCTTGATAATTAAAACATATGATCTCACAAGGTACTGGTGCCATACTGTGCAACAGCTAAGATGGCAAATGAGGAAATTGTTTGTGATCATTCAGGAAGGTTCAGTGCAGTAAATGAGCTTCGTGATTAACTTGTGAAAAAACAATGTTTTTTTTTTGTTTTTTTTTACTCGGGCTGCAAATACACGCTGCAACTCTGTTGGTGGTCGACATGAGCTAACAGGTAGCTATTTCTGTTCCGTTTCTCTCTCCGCTTCTCCGAGTCTATTTCACACCTGATTTATTCAACTTTACGACAATAATGTGGCACAAAACAGTCGCCGTCTGTGTCTGTCTGTGGAAAAACACACAACAAACGGCAGTGGGAAGCCACCGGGGGAGGTAGTACAAGGACAACACAATACTGTTGACCTGCTCGTATTACCACCTCATTATGTGACGTCCCTCCCTGTCTGTGGGCTTCTCTGGAGAATGGGGGTCAAAGTTGATTTCACCTGCTCTGCCTGGCTGCAGAAAAACATCCCTGCCTCTGCTGTCTGCTGCGGCACACACCTCTCCATCTCTCCCTGTCTGCACCTCAAACACCAGCCATTAGCTCCAGCCTCTACAGCCGTGTGTGTGGTGCAGTCAAATTTAATCAGACATCTCCGCTCGCTGTATTTCCTCTTGCACAAAAGGCCGTTGAATACAAGCGTACAAGACCCCAGAGCTGGAAACCTTATCTCTACACACAGGCCTGTTAAGGATGAACGTCACGCAGACAATGCTGCAAACCTGTTCACCAGCGTCCCCGTCACTACTCGCCCACTTTGATGGGAGTGGTTCCATGTAAGTGGGCGTGAAAATGAGCCGTAAAGCCCGGGTCTTAGAGACTTCATGTACGGGTCCTGCCAACACGCCTGCAGGCTGAGGTGAGGTCGTCGGTCTCCAGTAGCAGCAGGTGTAAAAGTGACAAACAGAATGCGATCGTAGCCGCGTGACGTGACACCGTAGAGCCGTACTCGTGCGCTCTCGGTCCGCCGGAGCTTTGAAAGTGAAACTCGACTCTTGACTGTCCATTCAGGAAGTGAAACCACTCTTTCACAGCCCTGCAGCCACAACAGTGTGATGTCACTCAGTGAAACTAGGGTGACATCACTAAATATTTAGACAACATATCAGAGTGGGAAAATAATCTGTAAATTATTGTGCATTATCATACTCTGGATTCAGAAAAAAAAAAAAGTCTGGACTTTTAATTGTTTTTGAATCTAGGTGAACGCCTAATTACACTTGCGCTAAATAAATCAGTTATCATTTTAAGGCGTGTCCTGTAAATTATTGTTTCCCAAAGACTGGGTCGCAACCCTCAAGTGGATCGCAAGAGTCTTTTTTTGGGTCGTCTCGCATCATGTTTCCCAGGAGTTTACGAATAATGTCTATTGCCTTGGGTCGCGAAGGTTTGTGACTTTTAAAATATGGGTCCCCAGAAAAAAAGTTTGGGAAACACTGGTGTAAATGACTAATGAGAAAAACCAAAGGAGTCCGAGTGGATATTTATCAAAAAAGTTAGAAAGATCTGTGAGGTGGAGAATAAAGTAGAAGAGATAGGAATTTGACCAAAGTGACCAAAGTGAATAACTCTATCGCTGCATCCTCACAGAGTGTTGGAGTAAAACGCTCTGCCGCGATGCTTGACTTAAACAGGAATAAAAACCATATAAGGAATAGTTAATGTGAAAAGTCAGCTTCAAACCCTGGCCAAAAAAAACTGTGGTTCAAAAGTGTTGAAGAACTAGATACAGAAACAAGACGCCAAAACCCCATCAAGTCCAGAACAACTCCAGTAACAACAAATACACATGTAAAACATTAGCCTACAACCTGTGGCTAGCTATCATTTAGCTGTCATTTAAGACAAACCAATAAACACGATGGTATCGAGTTTCTGATTTGACATGTTTTCCTCGTGAAAGACGCTTGTTTCTCTCTGAAAAGTAACTCAAGAGACATTTATAAAACCAAACTGTTTCACTGTCAACTTTCTAAGTCTTTGGCAAAATGTGTTTTCATCAGAGGAATTCCTTTTATGCCTCATCTGAAGACTGAAACTCAGTTACTTCCAAATTCAAGTCCAATACGAGTTTTTAAAACTTTGAGATTTGCTCAGATTTCAAAAACATTTTCTTCTTATTATTATTCACTTCTGATGTTTGAAATCCTTATCAATTGTAACCAGTTCCACATTTGAGTCCAACAGACGAGGTGATGGAACACATTTTGAAATGATAACATCTGTCACTTTAGCACTTTATGACTGAACCTTGTAATATAAGATCTCTAAATAAGGCAGGTGAGTTTAGATATTCTATCCTTGTTTTAAAATCACGTGCCGTTGTGTACATGAGACCCCAACACCAGCAGTTACCTCCACGTAGGGCACCACTTTGCAGGTGAACTCTCCCAGCAGCCAGGACTTGGTCAGCTCGTGGAAAACCACCATGGGGAGGCAGAAGAGGATGAGGACAAAATCCCACACGGCCAGGTTAGCCAGCAGGGAGTTGGAGATGCTCTTCATGTAGTAGTTCTGACACACGATGCACAGGATGGCGATGTTGCCGGCTATGCCCACGAGGAAAATAATCCCGGCCACACAGGTGATCGCGTACGCCCCAACGGTCTCGCTGGTCACGGGGTAAAACGGGTTCTTGATCTCGTTCCCAAAATCCTGGGGACTCGGAGGAGTGATCGGAGTGGCGTCCCAGGGGTTCTCCTCCCTGAAAGTGAAAAACTCTGGTCTTCTAGTGAAAAGGTCGAAGGGCACGTCTGTGGAGGTGAGGGCCAAGGGTTTGGGGATGGGTTCCCACGGTGACGCGTGGGGTTCAGCCTGAAGCATTGCCCCTTTGTTCAGCCTGAATCGCCCCCTCTTCTGGGCTTTCTTCTGCTCATCTTTTGTGCCTCTCTTGTGCCTGTCGCCCTCATCGGGGCCCCCTCCTCCATCTCCATCTCCCCGGCCCATTGAAGAGGACTTAGCGGCATTGTAGTGTCCACCTGCTGGCGTCCTCACAGTACTAAGAGCGCCATTCAACTTTGTCCTCTTACTGTGACGGCGCGTCGCGTCCCAATGCGAGACAACGTCCAGATCCTCACCGGGCGTCACTGTCCTGTTAAAGTCCCGTCTGTTGTGTCCGCTGCGCCTCGTCTCCCCCGCAGGGACTCGTTTCCAGGGGTGAGACGAGTTGAGGGTCCCTCTGGAGCCTGCCAGAGACGCACCTGTGGCGGATCCCGGCGGGAGCGCACGGTCCCTGGCTCTGTTCTGGTGACTTTCGCGCAGTGACGCGTGGAAAGTCCTGCTGACGGAGCGCGCGCCGGCGGTTCCACCTTCATTAGTCCGCACTTCAAGATCATTCCTCAAGGATAACAACACGTGTGCGTGTGCGAGGAACACCAACAACGTCCCAGGCTGTAGAACCATGATCCTGGAAATACGTGAGCGCGGCTGTAATCGTCACCAGTGCATCCTCGGATGAAGGCAGCGCGGAGCGGACTCTTCGGTTCAGTCAACACCCATGATGGAAACGGCACGAGGAGCCGCGGTCAGACGGAGAACACAAGTTTGAACATGGGTCCAAGGTCTCAGTGGTGGTGGACGATGAGGCAGCAGCTGCAGAGAGACACAGAGAGAGAGAGAGAGAAATAAATCCGGCTCTGAAGACTCCGTGTTACCAGACTGGAGGACGCTGAGACTGTGAGGGCTTTATCAGAGGCGTGTGAAAAAGAAGGAGCCTGGTAGTTCAGTGGGCTGGGTCAGCCGGAGGAGGCAGCGGCAGCAGCAGCAATGCGGTGCAGCTGGGTACAGAGCTAGATAGGCTGTGGGGACTGGAGTAGAGGTGTGTGTGTGTGTGAGAGAGAGAGAGAGAGAGAGAGAGAGAGAGAGAGTGAGAGAGTGAGGAATCGTCTCCCCTCTCTGCTCCTCGTCCTCTCCTTTCTCCTCCCCGAGTACAGAACCGTGCACTAGAAGAAAATGGACTCCCCTGGCGGATAACCCCGATCTGTCACTGCTCATCCGTCATAAACACATCCAGCAGCCCCTCTACC